CTTCAAACGGGCCTGTAGATGTGCTTTCTTGAGCAGGGGGAGCTTGTGGGCACAGCAGGATTTCAGTCCTTTACGGCGTAGTGTGTTACCAACTGTTTTTTTGGTGACTCTGGTCCCAGCTGCCTTGAGATCATTGACAAGTTCCTCCCGAGTAGTTCTGGGCTGATTCCTCACCGTTCTCATTATCATTGAAACTCCACGAGGTGAGATCTTGCAAGGAGCTCCAGACTGAGGGAGATTGGCAGTTAATTTATGTTTCTTCCATTTGCGAATAATCGCACCAACTGTTGTCACCTTCTCACCCAGCTGCTTGGCGATGGTCTTGTAGCCCATTCCAGCCTTGTGTAGGTCCACAATCTTGTCCCTGACATCCTTGGAAAGCTCTTTGGTCTTGGCCATGGTGAAGAGTTTGGAATCTGGATTGATTGATTGCTTCTGTGGACAGGTCTCTTTTATACAGGTAACGAGCTGAGAGGGCTCCCAATGTCAGCTCATTACCTGTATAAAATACACCTGGGAGCCAGAGATCTTGTTGACTGATAGGGGATCAAATACTTATTTCATTCATGAAAATGCAAATTAATGTATAACTTTTTTGTAATGCATTTTTCTGGATTTTTTTTTGTTATTGTTGTGTCTCTCACTGTTTAAATAAAGCTACCATTGAAATTCTAGACTGATCATTTCTTTGTTAGTGGGCAAAGTTACAAAATCAGCTGGGGTTCAAATAATTTTTTCCCTGACTGTAACTGGGGTGTGATCACAGAACCTTCATGCAAATAGTCAACAGGGTCACAAGAAACGTGTTGAGGAAAAAAGACGCAAATTAACTGCCAAAGATTTGAGAAGAATCAAATATGAAGCTACCAGGAACCCATTATTTTCCAGTGCTGTCATATGCTAATGCTGCAATGTACCTGGAGTGCCCAGAAGTACAAGGTGTTCAGTGCTCAGAAACATGGCCAAGGTCAGGAAGGCTGAAACCCGACCACCCCTGAACAAGACACATAAGTTGAAACATCAAGACTGGGCCAAGAAATATCTGAAGACAGATTTTTCAAAGGTTTTATGGACTGATGAGATGAGAGTGACTCTTGATGGACCAGATGGATGGGCCTGTGGCTTGATCAGTCAGACACAGAGCTCCACTTAGAATCAAACGCCAGCAAGGCGCTGCTATCAGCCGGTATTTTTAAAGATGAGCGAGTTGGACCTTTTTGGGTTGAAAGTGGACTCAAAATCAACTCCTAAACCTACTGCCAGTTTTTAGAAGACTTTCTTCAAGCAGTGGTATAGGAAAAAGTCTGCATCTTTCAAGAAGACCATGATTTTTATGCAAGACAATGCTCATCGAATGCATCGCAGTACTCCACTGCATGGCTAGCCAGTGAAGGCCTTAAAGATAAAAGAATTATGACATGGGCTCCTTCCTCACCTGACCTAAACCCTACTGAGAACTTGTAGGCCCTTCTTAAATGGGCGATTTACAGTGAAGGAAAACAGTACACCTCTCTGAACAATGTCTGGGAGGCTGTGCTTTCTGCTGCACAAAAAGTCGAGTGTCAAATCCAGACTCCATGAATGGAAAGTTTATGACTGTTATTGAAAAGAAGTGTGGCTATAGTGGTCACAGATTTTTTTTAAAATGTCAAATATTTATTTGTACATTTTGTTAGTTTAATATTATCACTTTAACCGATGAAAATAAACAAGTGAGATGAGAAAATTTTCATTTTACATTTAGTTGCACAATAATTCTGCACACTAACAATTGCCCAATAATAGTACACATAGAGGCATTTTATTAAGAAAGCCAAAACCTCACTTTTACTTTCTTAAATATTCAGGTTTGAGGTTTATTAACATTTTGGATTGATTGAGAGCACTGTAGTTGTTCAATAATAAAATTAATCCTCAAAAATACAACTTGCCTAATAATCGTGCACACAGTGTATAAAGGACTGTAAGGCTGTACTTTGACACATTTTGTCTTCATTCATAATAACCTGACATGATATACAACCAAATGTACAGGTTTTCACAGTATTTGGGATTCTATAGTTGGAATGGGTGTGGAATGCCTTTGGATTTGGAGATAACCACCGATCAGGCATAACATTATGACCACTCACAGGTGACGTGAATCACACTGATGAGCTCATTACAGCCACCTGTCTGTGGGTTGGATATATAAGGCAGCAAGCCAACAGCATCTAAGGAAGGACAGATGTTGAAGTGGTGACACGTCTTGGATGCGCATGGCTCACTGATGATGAGGTTGACCTACTGTAGATCTTTTGAAATAAATTTTTAATATGCAGTGTTGTGTGTATGCAGATGCTTAGCTGTTACTCTGAGGTAAAACAGTTGAATAAATGTATAATTTTGAGTTTGTGTAGGCTACTTTATCTAGCGTTAGTGAGAATTTAATGTTAGCATGTAGTGTTGGCAAAACTCTGCTAGCAAGAAGCCTTTCGGGCTGAAGGCGAGCCAGGCATGTGTCTTCTAATTAGTCCACATGTGGTTAGACTTCTGATACGCTAGTGTTTTGCTTTAGCATGTTCATTTTAACAATGAGGTAGATTGTTAAAACTTGCTTCTAGGAAATATTGCTGTGACTTTGTGGTAACTAGCCACCTATCCCCTGTTGGCTCTGTAGTCTGACTGGCAGCGATATGGGAATGGTGGTGTTGCATATTGAATATATCTGGACTAGACTAATGTTAGCACCCTCTTGTTTTAAACACCCAACAAGTTTAATGTTTAGAGGACACTGGTCTTTGACATGGATTTCTTTGTTGTAGTGGAGAAATGTTTTTAGTTACTGTAAGTATGTGAGTATTCAGTTTTTCTGCCATGTCTGTGTGAAATGGAACCTCCATTTAGCTTGAAATCCAGACAAACCATCAGCTGCCAGTCCTCAATGAATAGCCCAAAAAGCCTGTTTTGTTTTAAAATAAGATCAAAATATCAGTGGGTTTTATTGATGGTGGAAGCAATGCCAGGCTTTAATGACATTAAACTATCTGTATGTAACTTCACATTGTTGACAATGGAGAGAATTTCATGTCTAAATCTAGATTACTAAAGGTCTGAGGATCCAGAAATGAAGAGTAACTGGAGGATGACTTGTACAAAGCTGCAAGTAATGGGGTCTTGTAATGTTGCTTTTGAGAGGTTACAACTGAGAGAGACCACACATGTGAAGTTAATTCACTGAGCAGTGAATTAACGGTTAGATATTGTGTAGAAAATACTAAGCACAGACAGATTTGCACTTCAAATGAAGAATCTCATTTTCACTGTCATTTTTTTATCACATCTGTATTTGTGATACACTTGTCTTATTCCACTCCTGTTATACATTCAAGGTGGCAGTGGCCAGAGGATCCTGTCTGTCGGCCACACAAAGAAGATGCTCCAGATGATCGACAATGGGAAATGCATGCGTTACATTTTCCCTCTTCAAGAACAAATTGACACTACACCCCTTCTCTATTAAGCTGTGGATGGTCGAGTTCACCAGAACAATAGAAACAATGGTGTAATTTCATACATAGATTTGTACCAAATAGTCTCATCTTCAGAGATGCTCTGGGTGGGCGGTTTGTGTTGTATGAAGGATGCCTTTGTTCTTCATGAATAAAGGTAGGTGATACTAATCTCATTTGAGGTGGATTCACTAGCTTTTGTAGAGCTTTTAATTACAATTACGGGCTTTCTCATCCATGTTTGCATCATACTAAATTTTGAATATAGACCTTGTGGTGTGATCAAAACCTACAGAGGCTGCTAATATATTCTTGTACCTTTTTGTCAAAGAATTGTATTGATCCTGTACTAGTACTTGATAGTATTTTATTACTCATGTTCACTTGTGAAATGTTACATTAAATTCTTATTGCTGTGGCTAGCTTCTCAAAGTGAATTTAACTTTCCTTCAGTTTAGTATTGCTTAAATGTGGAACCATTTTCACAAGAGTGGTGCTTTACAACTGCAGAGTAGTTTTAAGTTACTGTTAAAGAGCAAATTTGCATGGCCTGTTTTGATAAATTGAAGGTAAACAAAAATGGTAATTGTTAAAGTGAATGTTCCTTATAGGCTTGCTGGTGATGAACCCAGCAGAGGGGCGACACCAGCAGTATGGCCTTTTCTTGGGACTTGCCACCAGTATTTCAGAGATGCTATGTCAACATGTGGTGAGATGACATCTTTTATTTCAAGTTTGTTTCCCCACTGATTTTGCCTAATGTTGACTTGGAACTTTGCAGTGTCCATTCTGCACAGTGACTAATTTTACTTTTTGTAATTTAGGTATATTTTCGTTGCTAATGATGTTGCTTAGCACTATTATTTAAGCAACATTTTGAATGCACCTGTAACAGGGCATCTTGGTCAAAAGACGCTGACCGGTTTGGACCTCACCGGGTCTTCATCAGCACCGAAACTTAAATTGTTTGCACCAGTATGTTTCCATCCTGATGAAGACCCGGTGAGGTCCAAACCGGCTGGCATTTTTATTGAGCTGCATGATTAATTTTAAATAAAAAAGACATTTACATTAATGGGTCATGTAAAACTAGACTAGTTCTTTCATCTACAAGACTACACATCCAACAAGGAAAGAGTTACAAGTCAACTAAGAGGTTTCTCCTAGATTGAAGCAGGTTTCACAATTAGTCTGACAACTACAGGCTCAAACAAAGCTAAAGAGTACTGGATGGCTAACGCTACCCTTAAATTTTCTTCCTAGCAGAGGTTTGTCAAGGTCCTACATTAGCATTGGGCTAGAGCTAGATAAAGTATCCCATCTGGAATGGAAAACAAATTTGTTAACAGCGAAGCACCTGCACGCTGCCTACACACAGAACACAACACATGAAATGTTTACTGTGACTTTCTAATGTGACCCACCTGAGTAGCACAACAGCTCATGCTGTCCTCCATCTTGAATCTCCATTATAGCCAAACTTGCAGAACCACCACTGGAGATTAACTTGAAGAACCCAGCTTCTAGTGATGGTCCTCTGACACCCAAGGCTCCGACACATGCACAGTAACTCATGAAGCAATTGTATCGAACCACTGTACCAAGGCGTGTTTTGGTCACATGACTAGTGACATTTAAATCACTTGAGTGATGTCTGATGCACCCAACTGCGAATCAGCTGATTGGTTCAGTTTGTCATGTGAATCACTTTGTGGGATCAAGTGTGTTCAGATAGGATATCCCTATTTAGTGGCAAAGCTGGATGCCACATACACTCTACCAACAAGGAAGGCCCTGAGGAACATGGTGGTAGCAAAGTATGAGGAGGAGAGGGAGAAGGCCAAAGCTGAAATCCAGGATTTTCCTAGAACCCACATTGCAGCCGAAATAAGTCACTGATGGCAGAGTGGGGCCTCAAACAGAATTCGATGCATTGTGACCGATTCAGCTAGCAGTATGATGCTACAGCCATGCCTTGAACTTGAGGCATTCTAAATGTATTGCACACTGCCTGAATCTTGTCAAGAACTCCATTGAAGCCACTCCTGTCCTTGATGAAATTGGAGCCATGAGCAGGAGGATGGTGACTTATTTCAGAACAAGTACAACTGCAAAAGAGAAGCTGAGCCAAATGCAGCAGCAACTGGGCTGCAACGTGAAGCTCAAACTGGAGGTGGACACACGGTGGAACAGCACCCTGGAAATGCTTCAACGCCTCTGAGGAAAGAGATGCAGGGGCAGCAGATCTAGCTTCACTCAACACAGACCGGACTCATCTGACCAGCCAACAATATGAAAGAATGCATCAAGGTATGGAACAGAAGACCAGAGATAAAAATCATTGTAGAATCCAAACTGTCTAGATTTATTTCATAGTCATTGCAGAAGGGTTTACTCGCTTGGCACATCATGCTTGACTGCACAATGAAATAAAGTTCACCACACAGTTTAAGCATTCAGACAATATGCATTTTCCTGTCACTTCAGCTGCTGGCTGCATTCCAGGTGGCAACTGTGGAGCTGTCGGAGGAGAAGAGTGTCGGCATCAAAGGTCATCCCCCTCTACCGTGTGTTGTGACATACTGTACAACAAAACAATTATATCCACAACTTGCCACCCCCACGGCACATCACCTGGCACATAACTTGTTCAGATGCTTGGGAGACAGAATGCAAGAAAAGGAAAGAGTTCACTGGCAGTCGCTACACTCTTGGATCCATGCTTAAAGACCTGATCTGATAACAGAATGTACAAAAATAATCAACATAAACAATGCCCAGCAGCAGCCATCCACTTCACAAGCACCACCTCAGCCTCATGCACCAGCAGCAGCCTCCACAGGTATTTCATTTTTATTTTATTCTGAATAAGGCATGACTAGTGACATTTTTGGTGATGATGATTTTCAATATTTTTCAGGTGTTGACCTGTGGAGACTTTTGGATCAAGATGCACACAGAGCCAGGCACATGCAAAGCACCACTGCTAATGCAATTGTGGAAGTGAACCAATACCTGGCTGATCCTCCCCTGGAAAGAACTGATGACCTCTTCACATACTGGGCAACCCATAAAACTGTTTACCAAAACCTCTATGAATTAGCCAAGCATTTCTTGTGTACCCCATCTATAAAAAAATTAGCCAAGCATTTCTTGTATACCCCAGCCTCATCTGTGCCATGTGAACTGTGTGTTCTGTTTTTTTTTTTTTGTCTAAATCTGTAGAGCACATCTCATGAATGTAGCAGCACCATTTAATGTTTCATAACAAAATATAAGTGAGGAGCATATAGGGTTACACTTGGACATGCCAAATAAGACACATCGTCTTCAACATGAGTCCATGTTTATTTTATATTTTGTCAAACCATATAACCATGTAGTGTAGTTGAACAGAAATGTGCATGGCGAATCAAATCCTCGAGCACTGGGTCATTGAGGCCTCGAGTAATGAACTATTTTTGTGAATACTGTCGAAGCTTCAACAAAGCCTCGATCACCCATCATTACCAGCTACTGCCTGACTGGGCAATTTGACTCTGCTCTGTGATTGGACTGTCACTGTCCAATCAGATTCAGGTGTGATTCCCACTAAACCTCAGTACTCCAAAACTGAATTGTATATGCAATTTGCTACTTTCTGCCTGTACACAGATGTTCACAAATGCGCTTGTTTTCACACACATACACACGTTGGTCTGCCTTCAAAATATGTTAGATGTCAGTAAAAATTAATTGTTCTTTTAGAATTTTAAGACATTTAATTTCTTCCTCTCACTTTGGGATTAAGCCTTCCACTGTTTTAGGAATGCTGTCAAACTCTCACCTTCTTCAGTTAATGAAGTTTCCAAATTCCGTTTTTCATTTCATCTTCCATAAGTATTCAGCAGTATTCAGCCTTCAGCGATTTCAGCATTTGCAGGTCAATTCTTCAGCAATCAGCATCCACACGCATTTTCTTCAGGAAATGCATTTGTGTAGTTATATTGTTTATCCTGCTGAGGGCTGGAGCCAATCCCAGCTGACACTGGGCGAGAGGTGGGATCCACCCTGGACAGGTCATCAGTCTATCACAGGGCTGATGTGTAGACAACCAACCACTCACACTCACTCCTACTGGCAGTTTAGATTCACCAGTCAGCCTAAGCTGCATGTCTTTGGACTGTGGGAGGAAGCCGGAGTACCTGGAGAGAACCCACAGGAAGAACATACAAACTCCACACAAAGTTCAGCCTAAGCTTGAATCCTGAACCTTTTTGCTGTGAGGTGACCGCTCTAACCACTGCTCCACCACACTGCCCAAGCAAATGTAGTAGCAGAGAATAAAAAAGTTACTTTCTGAACTTTGACACAATTAAAATGAGTAATCATTAAGGCGCTACAGCAGCTGGTGGTAGAGTGCCGTGCACACCCAAGGCAAGGCAAGACTGGGGAATAGCCACAATGAAAAGGCAACGCTTCAAGGAGGGCACTCATTCTTCTCATATTTGCCTTTGCCCTCACTTCAAAGTGCCCCAACTAGCTGTGTAGGGGTGAAACGAAAAGGCAGACGAGCTAAAAAGGAGAAGGTGGTGGGTTGAAGCTGCAGTGGTAGGTGTCTGCTGTGAGGAAGAACAGACCAAAAATATTCCACCTAATTAAAGACTGCCATTATTATAAAGCAGTGTCTCACTGAATATTAACTGATTAGGATGTTGCAATGCAAATACTCCATACATGATCATGACAGAAATATATTTCAACTCCACAAACAGAGTACACAGACGAGACATGAATAGAAAGAGCAGTCTGACATTGAAATCCCTCAGTGAAAAATGAAGATGTGACTGTTCAACCATGTAAAGGAGTTCTTCATTTTCAGCAAAGGTTTCTCTTACTTAACTATGACTGAAAATTTAGACTAACTTGAAGAAAATCTGGGGGTAATCCAGATAAGAGGGTCTTCAGAGTATAAAACGTGATTGTACTATGTTTCAAGTTATTCAGATAGCACAAATGATGCAGTCCTTGGGAAAATCAGTGTGGGGGTCTCATTGTACATTGTTACCGACCATAGTCCAGTGATTGGACTCACAGTGTAGACAGTGATATGCCATGTGCCTTAACCCTCAGAATGTCACTACCATTTTCAAAGTTTACTGAAGTCAGAAATGTTTAAATCCCAGTGGCTTTAATTAAATATATAGTATTATGAAGTAATTATATCATAACAGCATAACAGAATTGCCAGCACTGCTGTCATCTCTCTGGACTGCTGTGTGTTGTAAATGTGTTTGTGTGATGAAAAAAAATAGTGTGCTTTCTTCTCCTGAGAGGAATCCAGAGGGATGCCATGAAGACAGTTAGAAGGCTGATACAGCACAAGATTAATCCCCATGGCTTAAGGTCGACATTTTCAACAATCAAATATGGGTGCAGTGTTTAGGTGTCCACATATTTTTGGCCTGTTTTTATACTTGATAATATATATAAAAATGTTGGGAATTGTGGTGCAGTTCGTTTTATAACTGACTTCAACTTAGTGTGTAACAATATTTGTATGAAAAGGTACTACTATCTAATTGGTCCAAAACAGTTGGGGAGGAGCCGTGGTTTAGACTTAACTCTCCCGTTATTGATCCTTCAGTCCGTCCGTCCTCTCTGCTCCAATCATCGTGGACAGCGCCCTAGAAAGGAGGAATACCTGTACTACTTTAATTCCTACATACACACTCACGTCTTCCTTTGTTTTCACTTAATTAAAACTGTTTTACCTGGGTGTGTGTGTGCATAACTGTTCTCCCTTTGAAGCTCTCTCATCTACGTCTAATCTATTTTAATAAACTTGGAGCCTTACCGTACCAAGACTCCTTTGGGTCCACCAGTCCAGAGGAGCGATACGTAACTATGAGCTCCCTTAGCTACAGCCATAAATCTAATGAAATTCAGTAATTTAGTGGACAAGACTTATGATGTTGCATTAGTGTTTCTGTGACTCACACAGCAGATATTTGACCAGTAGTTAAGTGAACTCATAAAGTGATATTCATAATTATATAAGCATATCTGTGACATATAAGTATGTAAACTTATGTGTGTTATAAAATAAAACCATTCTTAAGTGCATAAAATAAAAATCACCCTAACAGAATACAGTAGTAAAATGTGTACTGGCTGTGATATTTCCTTGCCTTAACCACCCTGAACAGATATAGGAGATGTAAAATAAGATTTTGGATTGTTGAAAAAAAAATTATTTAATTAAAAATTAAATTGCTTTTCTAAGTGGCCATGACTGTCTTTCTGCCCAACAGTCCAATCTTCCAATTTTCTATGGATTTTTAATATGAAAACTTGAGCTGGTAAGTGTTACAAGGAGGAATTAAGCAAACACATTTAGGTGTGTTGAGTGTCTGTGTGAACTTGTATGATTCCCAGTGGGCAATGGGTAACCTTCAGAACATCCATAAGTTCTATGGCGAACAGAGTTCAGTTGAATATTGGCCAGCGCTGCTCTGCCTTCTGTCAGTTTCTCTGATGTCCCATTTCACAACCAATGATTTGCTTGACTGGTTCAGCAATCCACTCCTTCATCTACACACAGTCACTGGCACTCATTTACAGCAGCTGGAGGCTAGATGCACTGGCGGAACATGTTGACTTCAGAGCCGCCCGAAATATTAGTTTCACCTGAAGTCAAATTATCCACCAAAGTGTGAAACTGATTGTAAAAGACACTCCTGTTGGAAAGGTACACTGTTTAGGGAGAACATTCTCTCCTGTTCGTGCAGTTCAAACCTATTCTGTCCTGAATGATTTTAAGTGTATTTTGTAATAGCACATTGTCGTGGCAAGAGTGAGATACCAACTAAATTAATTCAGACAAACCATTACAATTTAAATGATCATTTATTACAATTATTCTAAATAGAGTAGCATCTAACAGATAATCTTGTAGTTAGGGAACAGAGAACAGAGGACAGAGACTCTCCTCCTGCAATGAAATAGATAAAGCCTAAATTGGTCGGAGCATCAGTCAGTCAGGTCAGGTCCTTTGTCATCAGTCCTGAGTCAGTCAGCCCCAGTCAGTCGTCTTCTCCCCATCCGGCTGGGTCCCCCAAAAGGGTACCTCTCTATCCCCTGGCTCCCTCAGGCTCACTTCTCTTTATCAGCTCAGCCACTAGCTCCTTCTCAACAGCTGGACTCTGTCCATCTTGACGTCTACCAGGGCCCCCCTTCTCACTCCATTCCGGGAAGACAGGAAGGTTGACTCCCAATATTCTGACACACAGGGTTCATCTCTGACCATACTAGGCCTTAACTAGGATTCTAAGTATTAATTATATAACCACTTACATAAGCCCATTGTCCACCTCACATGAACTTAATAAACCCATAATCACTCAGCTCTCCCTTACACGAGCTAGTACCAAATAAGGTCTATATTGAGCTACATACTGTTCCATTACATATTTCCTCTGGAATAGGGTTTATTTTTTCCCACTACAACATATACATTTTTGAGTTAAGAACTGCACCCAACCTATTGACAGGCTTTTATTAGAAGCTGGGTCCACATCTTAGAAATTTATTTTCTGGTTAAAACCAAAATTAATATGCAATAAAGTGCTGAAAAATAGGGTCTGTTACTTTGTGAGCAAACTTAATGATTTCCTTGCACTAGTCATAATTTTATGTGATGACAGCTGTAGAGGTGTCTGCTCACGGTGCCATAGAACAAGGCTAGGATAGCTGCCAGGCAAAACTGCCCCCCAGAAAGCCTTTAACAGGAACCTCAGCAGGCACAGGGGGATAGAAAGGCATAGTGGGCTAGATTAACAGTAAGGGCATCCAGAACTACACCCACATAGGCCTTTAGAAATTCTTCAGTTGAGCTCAGGGCTAAGTGCAAATCAGTACACTCTTCCTGGAAGCAGCGTGTGCTAGCTGCCTAGTAGCCATGCACGTAACCCCTTGCTAATTAAGTGGCTTCTAACATGATGGCTCAGTCCCAATGTCCTCCCTAAGGTCTCAAGCCCTGAACCCTCAAAGACTCACCTGTAAGTGACTGAGTGCAAGAGTCTGCTTAGGTCTGGAAACTGTATAAGTAGCAATGGGACAGGACTTTGTGACTTAGGGCCCTATCTTGCAACAAACGCACTGTGTGCGGTGCAGGTGG